ATTGCCTGAGCCTCCAACCCCTTTCCCTCATATTCGAATTTTGGCGTTCTTTCCTCTATAAGTACGTCGCTTGCCCCTAACTTTTCTCTTACTGTTTCTCTTCCATTCCTGACGACCAGACGCTGCAGTGCCAATCTCCCTACTCAAGAACACCATTCTTGCCTTGGGCTAAATTCGTGCTCGAAGGAATCGACTTTCGCCCCAAGACTGTAAGTTTTTCGCATCTCTTCGTCGTTCGCACTTGATATTGAGTGTAGGGCACGATGGAGTAGGTGTTAGGATATTAGCCCCCCAATACCCACCCTGCCCCTTCTCACTCAACTATTCTTTCAACTTTTGTGATTGAACACTCGAGGCATCTGGGGCGGACCGGGCTCCAGATCTTTCTTTTGATCCCAAAAAACACCAAGACGAGCAAGTTACGAGTTTGCAAAACTCGCGTAGGAGCCGAGGGTAACAGGTGCTGGACCGCTCGACCGGCCGCTAAAATCTGGCCGCTTGAGCGGCCGAGCTTCTGGGTTACCTCTGTGATTGAGATGTCTGGCACTCCATATGACCGAGCTAAAGTCGAGCTCGTTTTGCGCGACCGCGCTCCACTTACACTTACACTTCCTTTTACTGCAGAGTCCAAGGGGACCACGCATCAACACTGAGGCTCTCCAAAGGCCGAGCAGCCAATCAACGAGAGTTTTTGCCAAACCAACACAGCCGTGCTAAAACCAGCCGGCTTCACATGGGGCGTTACCGCTTCCTGGTTGACACACCGGTCGTACTAGCCGCATTCCGGAAGAATACGAGGGCGTCCCCATACAGACGTACATCCCACGAGCTCAGTGCCGAGGACACAACCCCTGGGGCAGACTAGACCAATGCCCTTTCACCGTGCTTTCCATTATCGAAGGCGGCCTTGCTTCCCGGTCAATCACCTAATGTGCGAGTTCCTGAGGCGCATCGGGCTAGCACCAACACAAGTCTCACCAACACCTATAGAAAATTAACGGATAGCCGGGCTGAACAACCGGCTAGGCCTCAACCTAGGATTAGCCGAAATACTTCGCACAGTACACCCTCGGGCATAAAAGTGAATGGACCTAACTACTACCTAAAGATCAGACTGGCAAGGAGAAATAATAAACCGGCACACCCAGATAAAGAATATACACGACGACGACTTTTTCTTGGGTGTCTGGAAAAACTTATGAAACAGTCGACGGTGTCTGGCTGGTACATCAGACAAACTTCAGATCAACATGTAAGCCGTGCTCACTGCTCGGTCAAATTATTTTCCTTCACGTTCTGTACTAATGCGTTTTCTTCTTTTCCTCTTTGCAGCCATCGAAGTTTTGCAAGCCAACTACTTATACCCCAACGAAGCAGCCATCAGACCGTACTACGGTACCGTAACCGGGATGCACGAACTTCTCGTTACAACCGACCTACAGATACTCAGCTCCTCGCACGAAGTAGAGAATAACAGATTTTTTCCGAGCGCCGTCTCCACCACCCGAAATCCACACAATGATACCGACGTGCCCCTAATCCGGCTGACCGAGAGAAGAGGAAATGGCCAAACGAAGCAGCATCAAGACCTCATTCCACCTGCACACATCCACCGAGCTGCCGAGCATCCCTCCCCGCCGCAGCTGCTGCCGGTCAAAACAATGGTGGTCGTGGTTGCGTTGGCGTCAATTGTCAGCGCGCAGAACCAACAAGGAAAGCGTCGAGGCTGGGGAAAAAGGCCTCGGACCGCCGAATCCCACCAGCCGAGCTCGTTGCGGAGTTGAACAACCGAGCAACCCGCGCGTCTGCATCTGAGCCAACACTGCCTCTGAAGCTCTAGTTAAAGCACCGGGTAAGGGATCCCACAAACGCTTCGATCAAAAGGCAACAAAGAACACCTCGCTACCTTCGACCTGCAAAAAGCCCTCCTTTGTCGATCGACGTGAACCGGCAGTGACCCACGTGCCCGACACTCGGCTCAGTGAATCCCGTCAAGTCTATGAAACCGGTTAAGAATTTCGCATGCTTTATCAAATTTTTCCAAGTGTTTTGCATGGTTGCTTTCTTTATTCCAAACTCTCTTCTTGGCATGCCATCTAGAAAAAACATCTTGTGATGACATGGGATTGCATTAGACCTCCGGCAGAAGGCGACCGACAGCCACCAGCCAAGGTCAAGCACCTTCCAAAACGAGTTGGGGCGGTCGAAATCTTCCTTTGGAGATGCCAATTACGGACAACTTCAAATTGCCTCGGGGCCAAAAACTGGAGGCCGGTAGAGAGGAAATAGACGCTTCTACTCAGGGCCGAGCTGATGCGTAAAGCAATCAAGGAAGGATGAACTGGACGAGGCAAACAACGAAGGTTTCAAGGAGGCCGAGAAAGCTACCACCAAGCAAGCGAGGCCACCAAGGACATTTTCTTCAAGTCCGGCTGGAAGGCTACTTGCAACAGCTCGGGCCAAGATCTGGAACCGACGTGTGCCTCTTCCGCGCTGGGGCTGCCTTCCTGCCGGGCCTAAATGGTGCCGTATGCAAATGATGTCTTCAGTGCATTTGCAAGACAGAGCCGAGGAAAGAAGGCGGGGGAAAAACGCCGAGAAAAATGTCGAGGGAGCAAACCCCCTGGAAGGAGGCCGGCCAGGTTAGTCCGGGCGCCCCAAGAAACCACGACTACGGCCAACTGGAGGCAGTGGCAACCGGGATGACTTCGCTGACCTTTCTCCCCTTAGTTAGTTTTCGTTTTTCCTCTTTTTTTTTGAGAATGTACCGGCTGCCTGCCCCACCTTATTGTACTTCAGTTTATCATTTAATGAAAAGTTCTGGATTTTGGTACTGGTTGCACTGCGCGTTGGACTATTTTCATCATCTCAGCAAAAGAACCTTTGAACTTAAGCAAAAACATCAACTCCTTTAGCCAGGTTAAAGCACCTCGCTAGATCTCTTTAGTTGGCCAAATCACACACAAAAACCCTTTAGCAGCACAAAACATCTCGGTAAAGCCTTGAGTAAATCATCAACTCATCTAGCCGAAATAAATCATCTTGGCTGAAACCGTTAGCAGTTGATCGAATCATCAACTCCTTCAGCCGAAGTAAATCATGCTCGCTGAGCCTTAGAGTTTAACAAATCATCAAGCTCCTTCAGCCGAAGGTAAATCATCTCCGCCTGAGGCCTGGTAGAGTGAGCAATCATCAAACTCCTTCAGCCGAACGTAAAATTCATCTCGGCTGAAGCCCGAGTTAAACAATCATCAACTCCTTCTGCCGAAGTAAATCATCTCGGCTGAAGCCTGAGTTGAGCAAATTTATCAACCCTTCAGCTGAGTGAATCATCTCAAATCCTCTCTTTTTCTGGCATTTGGTTAGGTGGTGTTCGCTGGATTTGTGCTGACAGATGGGAGAGCAGCTCCACGTGTCAAGAGACTAATGGGTGAAGAGTTGAGCGCATAAAGTATAGAAGCATGACTGCGCCCCCCATGCTGGGGATGGAACATCATTTGGTGAGATACAATTTGACATCGATTGAATTCTCTCTTTCTCTCTCTCTCTGAGTGTGTACTAACTTGACCGTCGGAGGGGTTTTCTAGCAACACACCGTTGGGTAGCTCACCGCCGTTGTGTTCTCAGGTCGATTGGATAAATTCAGAGCTTGGACAAAAAGGAGTACGGACAGCAACGAATATCTTTTCCCCGTACAGTCCTCCATTTTCACAGTTTAGTCAGTACCCCAATTGCAATTAAAAAAGAAAAATAATTTAATTAAATATATAAACACTTGACTAGAGGGTTGTTTGGGTGTTCTAAATAAGTGCATTTTTTTTGCTTTTGGACTAAAAAGTTAAGGAAAAAGATGGTTGTTTGGGATAATTTTTTGACTTTTTACGAAAAAATGTGTATTTAAAAAATTTAAATTAGTGTATATGAGAAGATTGGATGGAATAGGCTGTACAATAGGATGAATTGAGGGACAGCATCGGCGGAGTAGGGGTTGGGAGATGATTCCCTACTTTTCGGGCATTGAATTCGAGGTGCTGTTCGGCCCGTGAGGGCCCACCACGGGTCTCGTTTTCCTAATCAAAAACCGTTCAATATGTAGAATTCGTTGAGTACTATATTCTTGTAAAAAATCACGTTGATTGGATATCAATAGCTATCTGATCGGATTAGTTTGTTTTCAACCGTTAACTATAATACCATCCATTTTTATAAATTTTAAATGATTTGATCATACAGTTACTGATATCTGATCAATATGATTTTTTACAGACATATAGTAATCGACGAGTTCTACATATTGAACGGTTCAAATTATTAAAAAGGGACCCGTGGGACCTGTGATGGGCCCCCACGGGCCGAACAACACCGTGTTATTTGTACACCTAAATAAGTGCAATTTTTTCCACAAGTTAGCTCCGCTGCTCTTGCCGTCAGAGTTGTTTGATAAGGAAGATTGTGTAAAATTAATTTTTTAATATTTTTTTGAGTGAATAGTGATAATTTTTTTAACTTTTTAAGTAACTTTTTGATTTTTTTTGAGTATCCAAACCAAACCTAAATCGACAAAAAAGATAAAAAAATCGTATAACTTCATTTGACAATTTGATTTGTAAAATGAGTGGGAGTACTAATTAGTGCTACTACTAATGATAAGTTAATGTCAACTCATTAGTGGTGCTTTAAAATATCATTTTTTAGTGGATAAAATATTGGTGATTTTATTTAAAATGTCGTGATTTATGTTCTATATATCACTAAATGAACATCTAATCAGTCGCCTCTATATACTACTATAATAAAAAGTGAAAGAGTATTTATGATAATTCGAGTCATTAAAAAAAAAAAAAACAAAGAAAAGAAAAGAAAAAAGCCCTATACCAACCAGCAATAAAATTGCATCTCCACCTTCATTTATTATTTTTTTTAAATTTATTTTTATTTATTTTGGTTTATTATTTTTTTATTTTTCAATTGACCATTTTTATTTTAATTTGTGGCGTATTTTTTCCTCAGAGTTCAACTATTCCAATACCACGATGAAAAGGACGCGAATGCTCCCTATTCCAATGGCAGTTTCCCAGGGAAAACTGAAAGCGAGCCATTGAAAAAACTAAAGCAATACATACATGTAGAAAGAGAGAAACCACCCACACATATACTCATTTGAGAGAGAGAGAGAGAGAGAGAGAGAGAGAGAAACGACTCTCTGTTGTATCATCAGATCTGGAGATCTAGGCAGTCCTTCCCTCCGTGAATTCCATTTTTGGAAGAAGCAGTGCTTGGTTGATGGAAAATGGAGTACATAGCAACTTTGCCTCCCGTGGATCTGATGCGCTCCGAAAGATGGTTTTCTTTCAGCTCATCATGCCCTTCGAGTCAGCTCAACGCGCCATCTCTTACCTCGGTGAACTCGGCCTTCTTCAATTTTGTGACGTACGCTCCCAATTCCCATACACTCCGATCCAATTTTATTTATCCATACGTATATATATATATATATATATATTAAATATATATATAATTTTGTTGAATTTTTGACGGTATTGATCTTGAATCGTGCGCTTGATTTTGTATTTGGACCTTGATTTTCCATTGCCCGCAAAGAACAAATTTCAAACGTTTAATATATATGCATTTTGGACCTTTGACTAGCTGTATGGACAATTTGGACACAAATCGAACCCAGTAACTCTGGTGTAACTTGGATTATTATATTATTATTTTTGTATGATCTTGGATATTGTTGCTGTGGGTCTTCATATATGTGATGTGTTCTATGAGCAAAACAAACGTTTCACATATTGATTTATTGAAGTTGTATGGGGGGAAATTTGCTTAAGATGCAATTGGGGTGTCATGATGAGTAACCCAAGCTTCTGCATAACCTGCCGGCTTCCCTTTCTTTTTTTCTTTTTGAGTCGATTGGTAGGAGATAATTTACAAATATCATGAGAATTACATGATACTTGATGTCTAAGTATATAAGAAAGTCCAACAACTCAATATGACAATCATACAAATAAAGTCACTCGATTTCTAGTTCTTGCAAGAGAACCTATAATTCCTGGCACCGATAGGCTATTCAAGGTTAGCCTCTCACTTTACAAATCACTGGTTATTGTGCAAGATAACTTACCATGATTCTATTCCATATCTGCTTTGAAATGTTCGAGTTTCTAAAATTTTCCAGTGCGTATGTTTCACTAACTAACCATTGTTGTTATTCTTTTAGACGAGTATAGTTTGCTCGCTAGAGGAAGGTCCTGGAATGCTTTTCAAGGCAATTGCTGTTTTTGCAATGAGACTACGTATGTTCCTTTCTTGGGAATTTTTGTTGTCTCTTCTTATTGGTTTGATGAAAATAAGAGCTTCTGTTCGAAAAATTTGTGGAAAATGTCGACTAATCCGTAGGTGGGGATGAATTAGAATAATTTGTTCCAACCCAAAACATAAACAAAGACAAGGACAATCTAAAAGAGACTCTCTAAACGACCCGATATACAAATAAGAGATCTGTTTTGAACAGAAATGGATATATCCATGAATTTCTTTCTAAATGAAAGGAATAATTGCACCAAAGACAAAAGAAAGAAGTTTTTTTATGAGGTACAACTATAAATTTTTACAAGGTACAACTATATCCATGAATTTGTTATGAAATCGACCATAGATCAATTCCCTTTTTTATTTGGGAGCATGGAATACACCAATAATTTCTGAGTTTCATGTTACTCCCAAGAGACATGTCAGATCTAGGGCATCCCAATTGGATACAGCCATGCTGACAGCCTTTGTTGTTTTTTTGCTGTTGAACCAGATTGAAAGTTGCCCACTGCAGAAGCAGGCCTTGCAAACACTAGACGATAACAATAACGGATTCCAAAGTAAATATCTTGCCTAATTTGTCTGTTGCATTTTTATGCATTTGACACTTTCATGATTGGATTAGTTTCCACGCACTGTTTTGTTCAACTATTTGCTCGATGCATTTAATATTCTCGTACAGGCTCTTCCCTTATCTATTCTATGTGGATTTTGAAGCATCAATGGCTGACCAAAAATCACAGAATGCCCTTGGGCATCTAAAGGTGTAGTCGGCTTTATTATCATTCAGCTTTGAAATATAAATTTTAGCTGTAGATGATATAGGAAGATGTATTCCTTTGGCAAGAGATTGCTACATTCTTGAGAGTGCTGGGGATTTACCCAGAGGACATTAGCATGTTGTGAATGGATGCTGAAGCCCTGGGTAAGAATCCATTATTTATCTTCAATTAGGCAAAGTAAATTTTCACAGAGAATCGATTTTGTCATTTTGTATTAGAAAGAAGTTGTGTTAAAATGATTTGAAGTTTTACAAGGCCTGATAACTCCCTAGTACCTATCTAAGCAGATGTATGGTTGTTAGCAATCCATTTAGATATTGAGTCTCCCAAACTTTTTTAAAATGATGAGGTCCTTGCCAAGTGACTCCAAAGTTATAGGCTGATTGAGCTTGGCTTAAAAAACTCATGTGCTCCAAGTGAGGATTGTCTTTGGTTTTACCCAGGGTGTGACAAGTGCTCCAACTAATTTTGATTTTATAATGAATGTTGATATATTAAAAACACTTTTCTCTATGAAGCTAAAACTATTGCTAAGCTATAAGGTAAATGAAGCTTTACGCCATAAAAATTGTCCGAGCGTGTCTATTGCTAATTGATTTAGGGCAGGAACTAGCTAGAAGACTATTATATAGTTGACTGGCGGGCTACAGCTAATAATCTTTTTGTCTTCCTTCCTGTGTTTTCTAGATTACGTTTCTAGACATTTGTAACCAGCTTTTGAAAGTTTCTCGTAATGTGTAACTTTTGATCGTAAATCTGTCCGAATGAATAACTTGTAAAGTTTTTGTTTTTGTCTTTTTGTTTTTTATTAGATTTTGTGATAATGCAGGGCTCATGGAAGGTTTTTTTGGGCCAAGGAGACATCCTAATTTTGTTTTTGGTCTCATCGACAAATATGTATAGAAGTTAGAGTTGTTTGTGCACTGCTGGAAGTAGAGATTTTCACACCTTAGATGGGTATGTAGATTGTGTTCTCACAACATTCTGAAACAACATTCTGAAACATCAGTCAAAACTAAGGTTGTACTATTCACTTTTCATGGTGCATTTGTTTAATTGATTTTTCGTTTTCTTCTTCATAGTAGATTGTATAAACAAAAGGGAACAAATGTGGGCTCTATGTTCGTACCAGTAAGCTTGTACTATATGATTACTCTCAAAACAATTTAGTTCCTCAAAATTCATGATTCTATTCTAGGTATTTTGATGACTTTTGAAAGCAAAATTGGTCATGACATTTAGATTCTCCACCATTTTTGCTCTGCTTATGATATGCTAAATGAACTTACGAAATAAACCATCCACAAGTTTTTGGTTGAAATGTAAATAACTGTGTTCAACATCCTTATAAACTGTTGAAACTATCTACCCATGAATGATAATGAATAAATAACATCAACATTCACATATAATTTCGTTATAAAATACAGATGTAACAATTTGTTTTTAGAATTTGTTTTTTACTTTTTTTCTTTAAAATAAAGAAACTAGTTTGACTAAAATAATTGATTCGCCACAAAACAAATAAAATTATACAAAAATGATGAGTATTTTTTTTATTTTTTTCATCAAACTAATTTATAATTTTTTTCACCAAAGAAATAATAATAATAATAAATACTTTTTAAAAACATGTATGTTGTAGCTTATGGTGAAACAACATAAGCTTATTTCAGTTAATTTAATATCAAATTACAAGTGGATTTGAAAAGGCAGATTAGTAAGCTTTTTGCTTACAGAAGCTGTTTTCCACTGAAAATTCACTTAAATATCTCCTCTTTTTTCAAATATTACCATCACGCTCTTGTATAAAGGGTCCATCCCTCGTTTTTCCTCTATTCCTGAATCTCTATAACTAATAAGGGTAAAAAAAAACAATTACACAACAAAAAAGTCATTTTATAACTTACCTAAACAAATACTACTCTCTGAAACTTAAATTTATAATCCAACTATAAACTATAATCTATTAAGTTAAAATCTACAATCTATTCCAACAGTCACAGGAAAAAAAGACTTGCAATTCCTGAATCTTGAACCAACACCAATGCAATTCAAGATTTTCACTGCATGGACATTAAGCTTTTTACTAGCCCCAAAATTACTGTGCGCATCTTGTCAACAACAGATGGATTAACCTGCTCATTCATCGTAGACAACCACAACCCATCTTCATCATTTGGTTCACTTTTGCTTTCATACCAGCTGCATATGGCTTTCACAATAGTTGTAACATATAGACCGCAATTGTAGCCATTCACTTGCTGTGGGGTTTTAGAGCGCACAACATATTTACAAGCTGATGCCATATCAGAGATCCCCATATATCCAACAATAGCTCTGTAAAGCTGTTTGGCATGCCCAGCATTAAGTCCTCCGTAGCTATCATGATGCACAGATACATTTGCATTTCTCTCAAACACAAGTAAGCTCCAGCGGTTCCCACCTTCGGCTTCTGTCACGTTATCGTTGTTATTGACAGGAAAGATTACCAGTTTCTTACTAGAGAGATTAAGGGGTTCTACGAAATCCTTGAAACTTTCGATGTCTGGGCAGTTTGCTATCCAGAAAGCAATTGAAGGTGAAACAAGTACGAACTCCTCGGAAGGATAACATGACGGAAGATAGCTGAAATAAAATTCAATGATGCGATAGTTTAGAAAATATGGACCGCTGAGAATGTCCAAATCTGATCGTCTGAGTACAGCATCGTTGTAGCTGAGAATCTTCTCATCTGCTGCGGATTTCCTCATCTTGTAGATGTCAATATGTATACCTGGCGAAATAAGTTGATTTTGGTCAAAAATATGTACAGGGGAAAAAAAAAAAAACTATAGTGGCCGAATTTCATCATTAAATGATTATAGAAGAAGACACAAATAAAGCTGATAGTAGCATAGTTTGTTGAAATTTGGTGAGATATCGAAGAGTCAAAATATGCAGATTATAGTGTAACACGGTTTTTGCAAGAGTCCAAGACCATCAATGCGAGCCTTCTCACCTTTGCCTAGGTTCATATTGCAAGATAAATTTCAGCAATAGTATGGACTCCCGACATCCGAGTACAAAAAAGCACTCGAACTATTTACTTGCACTTTTTAGGAATTTTTGTTGTCCTTTCCAGCAGAACTTTCCCTTTTTTTTTTTTTTTCACTTCTTATTATAAGGTTCAAGTTTCAACTACAATATTTGGAGATACTTTTAAGATTTAGAAAGGATTGAAAGCTTAGCAAGGAACATTTGGAAAGATAAACAAGGTCATTTTTCTACCTTTTCTTATTGGGGTTTTACCCGGATATCCAATTATCCCGGGAAAGAAAAGAAAAAAAAGACTGTACAATTGGACCTTGTAAACAAACTTTTCAACTCCACCTCTTCGACCATCCACTACAAGTGCCCAAATGACCTTTAGCAATTAATTACTTTGGTTTGGTGAGTACACATGCAATATGACCTGGAAAACCCCAAATACACTTAACTCACAATGCCTCTGCCAATAACATTATCAAGAAACCCTGGCCTTCATTTAGTGACTCTTGTTTTTCTACCATGACATCTCATACATGATCTTGCCCACTCCTTGTGAAAAATCATGAAAAAATTGCACTCTTGATGTCATGATTATCAACCTACACAAGTATGGAAGACATGTTTTAGGAGGCTAACACTAGAAATAAGGGTCCTGTGCCATTTAAAGATTTTTTTTTTGACCGAGATAAAGTGATTGTGGTACCAGAATCGCAAAAGCTTTGTGAGATTAAAATGCTGCCTAATGCTTAGGCTAATATTATATAGCACGCCAGTGTTCCCATTACTCTAGTAGGGGAGTTTTCCACACAATACAGTCTACAATAATGAACCAGTAAGGTTGTCCGTGTTAACTAAGGCAATAGGGTTTATCTGTTATCAGAATCTCACGATTCGCGATTCAATTCACGATTCGATACGTAATTTTGCAAAAATCGATACGAATCTATGAGTGAATCTATTTTGGAAATGAATCTCTAGTGAATCGCACGATTCACATCGATTTACGATTCGATTCACTTTTTACGATTCATGCAATTTTGGAAATTATTGTGTTCGACATATTTTCGACTCATTTTTTCCATATTTTTAGTGAAAATGACATAATACAACTTCTAATAGTATTTATACCAAAATAACCAACATATATATATGATTTGTTATTATTTTAGTGATCATGGAGTTTTTTATAGGATCAATCAGATTCAGATCAAACCTAACATATTTTTAACGTTTCTTCTCATTTTTGTCCCTTCAAAAAATTGTAATATATCTCTAAAGATGTTTAAGATTAGAGTTACACTATATAATTATCTATTACTATTTTATTAAATTGAATACTACATGTGTGAGGTCAATTATACCTGTTAAAATGTTTTAGGCTTTAAAATAAATATCTAAATAATTCTTCTTATTATTTGCTCACTCTTACTTAGAAAAGTATATATACTTATTGTCAAATATCAATATCGTTGTTAACTATTGTTACTTTTAGAAATTAATAGTTTCTATTTGGTTATTACCTTTATTAAGAATGGTTGATAAAAAAATCTAAAAAAAAAAAGAAAAAGAAAAGATAAGATGGTGATTTTACATAGGACCTTTTGTTAACTTCTTACCTATTAAATTATGTGGATTATCATTCAAAAAACATTTTTGTTGATTTAAGTCTAAATATTTTATATTCATAAGATACATTTAACATCTAATGTGTAGATATATGTTTTTAAGTGATTTAGAAAAAGTGACTGAATCTTTTACGATTCACGATTCGATTCGCGATTCGGTACGAGATCATTTCGATTCACGATACGAATACCGATTTGACAACTATGTTTACAAGTGACATGAAAGATTTTAATCACCTTTTTTGAAGTTCAGGAATTTTAATTGAGAATATACAACTTGAGAAGCTTTCTTTAGTGAATGTAATAACCTTAACTCCGCCATTGGGAATGCTTAAGGGAACCAAATATATGGTTACCTTCAATTTCCTACTCCTCAACATCATTTCGTTCTTATCTTATTTATTTTCTTCTTTCTTCCAATTATCTGTAGTTTTAATTTCCTAGTGTTAAATTCTGATCCACATTTAGCTGGACCAGAAGAAAACCAGTAATACTACCCCACAAGCCTCCCCAACCAAATTTTAATCACCCTACAAATCTACAACCTACATTAGCAAAAGCTCACAATTATTACATTGAACTCTGAAATATTTGGCATCAATGTTAACTAACATTCCCTTGATTCAATTTCAGATGAACTCCCTACACTAATGAATATTAGAATCACTAACCAACAAAGCTGTGTGGTTATTGTCCATGCCTAAAACAAGCAGGAGCACCTAAATAATCCCATTGTCACAAGGATAAGGATTTAATACAGCTTATAAACTTCTTGTTTTGGCAAAATTAACTCATTAAATTTATCAATGTTCTGGAAACCTTTTAAACAATTTGCCACTGTTTGACAGGATTTCTAATATTGCATTTTTCCTCACAATAACTTACAATCATCACAGTCAGTGGCAACTATAAGACAAAAAGGAAACCCATCTTGCCCAACCCTATTAGGGTTCTGGAATAAAAAAAGCCACTGCTCTTGACCTAACAAGAGGCATAAATCAAGAGCCTACCATCCCCAATATATTATATATGCATATATTCTTTATGGATTTTTTTTTTTTTTTTTGCATAAATATAAAGTAGTTCAAAACTTCATGGAAAGTTTAAACCAAGTTGTGAATGATGGTGAGGCATGCCACCAACTAGATGGGTCTCTAAACATAACTTTCAAATTTCTGGTGAAAAAAGTGCAATCATCAAAATAATATATAAAATTTACGCTCTGTTTGATCATTCAAACAGTTGAAAGTAGAAGACTAAAAAGGAATCGATTAGAAATGGATTGATAACCACAACATACATGCAGCTTAGTTTCTGCTCCTTTTTCTGGCAATTTCTTAGCATCCAAACAGAACGAAGAAAAGAATTACGTAACTTTTTCCTGTTTGAATTAAGCAGGAATCACAAGAGTGCTGCCAGAAATCGCGGCTCCTTTATGCGTTAATGCCAAGTCTTATGCTTTGCTAATGCTATAATATGTCAACATCATTAAATTCAACGTGTATATGTCTCTCTCATTTTGGTTTTCTCAACAAAATCATACAATCACACATACTTGAAAAAATACCAAATACAACCACAAGCCCAAAAACAAATCACAAACCATGAAAACTAGTATAACCAAAAAAAATTTGTTTGGGTTTACGGACATCCATGAATACAGATACATCTGCTACATGTGAGCCCTATATAACGAAAAATTATTTGTTGGTGGCCAATCACAATTCACCATGCGCGCTCATCTCTCCAATCACCCACCACCAAAATCGTAAATTTCCACTCTCTCTTACCAATCATAACAAACGTGGCCTGCCCCAAGCCCACCCGAATTAACTTCTCCCTATATCACTCCTTTCTTTTCTGATTAGAAGAAAAAAAAGATGACCCCTTTTCGTCTTGGTAATAAGATGATAGCATTTATAACAGTTGCATATTGGGAATTTGGGATACGAAATCACAACAGTGGATGAAGAACACTTTATTAACAAAAATTATACGTTATTGAATCAGGAGAATCCAATTAATTACCATTAATTATTTGTACTTTCCCTAATGGCACAATTTTGTAGATCTAGTAATAATATGGAAAAACTACGCAACAACAACCAAAAAAAAATAAAAATCAACCTAATTTGATATTATCCATGGTCTTTATCTTCATGTGGTATACTTGAAGTAGCTTCTCTTGAATCAACAAACAAAATACGAGCCCAGAATAACAAACTCAACAAAGGATTAAAACTCAAAACCTGAGAGGTGGACCACTAAACATCCATCACAGAACTACAATCTTGAGAGAGAGGAGAGAGAGAGTGCACACATCTTGTCGGCAGAAAAGACCACATAGCAGTACAGAGAGTCGGTGAGATCATGAGAGAGAGAGAGAGAGAGCTAGGATTTTCAAAGAGACAAAATCGATTAGATATGATCAGTTTGTTGATGATGGAAGACAGACCGGTTGTTGGGGAGAGAGAATTTAGAGAGAAAAATGATATTTTCCAGATTCTGGGTTTTGATCCTACGGTGAATGATGATCTAACATAGGTTTACATCCCGACGGTCTAAAATAAGGCAATTAAAAGGAAAAAAAAAAACGTTATCAAAAGTAACAATTCTTTACATTGTAAAAACATTATAATTGATGTATATGTCTTCTTTATCACAATAAATATCATTTGTTTGTTTATTTATTATGTATATTTGATAAAATTGATTTTTTACGACCGTTTGATTTTTATTAACAAATTATGTGATAAATTGTTCAAAATTCATAAACTTAAAAATAGGCATCTCATGAAGTACTAATATTGAAAAATATGAAAAAACAATAATGATAAAGAATTTATTCCCATAAAATTAACTAAATAAGTTTTGAAACTGACCATCCCTTTTGCTTCTTGGGAGCCATAAACTTCTACCACTAAACTTATCACTTTTACAATCAATAAAAATAAAAATAAAACACCTCACTGTTATTTCATTACTACTGATAGAATTCTTCAACTTGCTCATAACATTCTGAAATATGTATACCAAGTCAAAATATTAATTGTCTTGACTATATATTTTTGTTATGCAAATTATGAAGTAGGATTAATATTTCAATTTGAATTGTCAATAGAAAACCAAAAAGGGATTTATTATATGTTCTTACTAGCACAAGCACAAGCACAAGCAGAAGCAGTAAGCACAAAGAACCCGCGGCAATCCATAATCCCACCCCTAGGATTAAATGTTGACGTTTGAACAAAAAGTGATTGGATAATTCAAAATTAATTTGCACAAAGCTGGTTTCAACACTGCAATTACCAAAAACTTCTTTTGCAGCTCTCTCCAATTACATCGGCCATATTGGTAGAGACTGAACTCGCACGTACTTATTATAGAAAGAGCCTCTTATATGAGTGGAGCAGCTCGTGCCTTCTGTGGTAGTTAGAAAAAAGTAAATGGATAATACCAGAACAAGATGATCTTTGATTTATTATATAGAGTTGGCACGTGACCCTGTACTATTTTT